ATCCAGTTCCACGGGCAGGGACACCAAGCCCCTGTGTCCAACCTGGCCTTGAACACTGCCAAGGATGGAGCAGCCACAGCTTCTCTGGGCACCCTCACAGGGAAGAGCTTCTGCCTAAGAGCTCATCTCAGTCTCCCCTCTGGCAGGTTAAAGCCATTCCCCTTGGCCTGTCCCTACAGATCCTTGCCCAAAGCCCCTCTCCAGGTTCTGTGTAGGTCTCCCCTGAGCCTTCTCTTCATTCACATCCACCAGCATCTCTCCTGATGCCAGCCAGGCCAACAGCATGGCACAGGGCTGCTCCAACCCCACCGAAGTGGGAAGGGAGCACCACCTGGGGAGGATGGGCACCAACTGCATGGTCTCAGCATCACCACTCGCCTTCATGCACCGGGCTGGGGTGGAGGGAACCTTTCCACAACCCCCTCAACCTTTTCTCTCCAACCACCCTTCCAACGGCTGCACCGTTACAAGTGAAATTAGTGGGCATTGTAATTATAACTATCAGGAGCAGATAAGACAAGTTAAATACCAGCTACCTAGGGAGAAATTATTATGCCAGCCAGGAGGATCCAAATGCCAGAATCCATGGCTGTAATTTCCCTGAGTCGCCAATTACAGCTCCACCACGCAGCGAGTTCTACCTTGGAAACAGCAGGTATATATTTAGCTGCTCCAGAAAACTTTTGGGGGGAAAGAGAAGGAGGAAAGGCCAGTGATGGAGCAAGTCCTCACTAATCTGCTCTTCACTAATCCCCATGCTTTTAGCATCTGCACACAAAAAGCAGCGACTCTCTTCCCACTTCCCAGCAAGGACTTAACTGCGGAGAGACGGGGCTGCATTACCGTGTCTTTTCTATACTGGTTGCACGGGTGAGTGTCACAACCCCTATTTAACAGGTAGGAAAACTCGAGGGCTGGTGGTTTGACTGAGCAAGAAGGGGGGGAAATCTCATTTCCCAGCTTCCCAAACCTATGGTTAGAGCCTGTGGTCCTGCTCCTGCTGGTTCTACTTTACTCGGGCCTCATTGTGTACTGGGAAATCAAAGTGCGGTAGATTACTACACCTCCTGCCCCCCCCCCCCAAAAAAAAAAAGAGCAGAATTGTCAGGAATAATTAAAACTATAATTGCAAAAATAAATGGAAGAGTGGCATTTTTATTCTAGCTTCTTAGTTTTAATTGGAATTGTTCTCATAGTCACTAATTGACAAAACAGAGCCAGGAGCAAAGTCTTGGATGCAAATGAGCAGAGCCACCCTGGTTGTCTGGTCTCCTTGGACAAGCAATAGGGAGGCCAGAAGTGAACATAAAGGTAGAGGGTGATTTGACTTGAAAATCTGCCTTTAAATGCAGGGGGAAAGCCTCTCTGTATTATTTATCTTAGATAAAAGCTTAGTTATACATGTGTTAGTTGTACAATCTTAGCACCACCTATGAAAGCTCATTTCTTCTCATCCCCCTCCTCTAACCAAACCAGTGCTGTTGGCTCCATTTTACACATGGGGAAACTGAGGCAGAGAGCAAGAAAGGCCTTCTCAAGTCCTTGTGTCCCCACACTGATAGCCAAGGAGCAAACCCAGCACATCCCATCGCCCAGCTGTTCCCTCCAACCACTGCATGGCTCTCTTTGCCTTAAAAATAAAGCTCCAATATTTCTTAAACACAGATAAAACTATAAAGCCTTGAAATTTGGAGCAGCTGCTGCTTTATGTCTTTATGAACTGTACTGATGCCTGTTATAAAAGGTCGGCTTGCTGGCGGCACAAGGAATACGATCCCATTTACTCCACATCCCCCATTTCAGCATCAAGATGTGGTACCCGTGGTTCAGCCGCTGCCTGCATCGCCCTGAGCTCTGACAACAGCAGTGCTGGTGCTTCCAGCAGTCGGGAGAAAACATAATCCAAGGTTTCTAGCTAGGATCAACCCATTGGGAATTAGTGACCATGCTGGGGACCTGCCAGCGATGCCCCTGCAGCATCCCACGGGACAGATGCCTGTGGCCCTGCGAGCTGCAGGGCACGCATCCAAGAAGCATCGTGCATAGCAAGCTGATACTCGGTGGCACTCTTCCCACAAGCACAAACTTAATCCTTGTTTCCACATCAAATCCCAGCTGGGAAATGAAAAAGTGACCTTCTTCAACCTCGAGCGTGCTCCTTGCTCTGTTCCACGTCCCAAACTGGTGGCTAATGCGGGTTACTGCTACCACCTAAACATCTGCCCCTCTTCATAGCAGGTTTTGTGCTTCAGAGGCAGGTAGGAGGCAGCTCGATTTTCTCTTTAATACTACACAGAGAATTTGCAAACTGCCTCAAGTTCCCGGGAGAGGAAAGGTGCAGGACTATTATGGGAATTGTTTGTTCTTACAATAGGAAGCAGTGAATTACCAACAATCTCTGCTTAAAACAGGGGACTCATTTGCTGCTGATCTAACATGACCCCAAACTCGACTGTAAACGTTAGCCTTAGCTTCTACAAGGATTCCACTGAGCCTCCCTCGGAAAAAGGGTGGAGAGGTGGAAATGGATGTGCCCGAAATCCAATACAGGAAACCCACAAACAGCCTGAAAAGCCTCCAGGTTTCCTCCTCCATCATGCGGTTCTGCTCTCCCTCACATCTTTCTGCAGTGCCATGCGTGTGCTTAAAGAGCTCAGAGCTTCCATCAGCCCTGCTGAATCCAAGGGAGTTTACACAGCTCAGCCCGCCCTATGACCAGGTAGCAGCAGGGTGGGAGAGGACCTGGCGAGTCCAATCCCTGCAGGATTGTGGCTAATTCCATAAGTGCGATAAACTGGAATTACAGGAGCTTTTCTCCTCGGTTTGAGCCCCACAAGTGCCATTTTGCAACGAGGACAGCAGAGGACACCACATCTGCTCTGACTACAGGTGCACAGACCGTTTGCTGGGTGAAAACCCTATTGAGGGCCCCACACTAGACACCTACCCAAGCATCATCCACACGGGAAGCCTGTCCTGGGCAGTTTCCCATTCCCAGCTCTCTGTAGGGTATTTCAACCTGATAACGAATGCCAACTGCATCCTTGAGAATTCCACCTTTGGGCTGCTGCATACCCAGAACAGGGGATAAGAATGGGAGAGAGGAGTTAGACCATTGGGAAACAGCAATGCAAGAAGGGAGTGTGGGCAAATGGGAGCTGGAGGCCAGAAACCTGACTGCAGCAAGCAAAAGCTAAACTTGAGGAGGAAAAGGGATGGGGTGAGCGTGGAAAAATCAGATGCCAAGCGGGGAAATGGGTAGAAAACAAGTGCTTTTGGGGCAGAGCTTCCTGTAAGTCACACCAAGAGATGCAGCGTTTCTTATGGGGAGGCTAAAATAGCTCAGCGCTCCGGAGCTGGCTGCTTCACAAACATCCCCTCTTGCAAACAGCACGGAAAAGAGGCCAAAAGCTTTAAAATATACATAAAGGAGATCCAAGTCAGCCCTCTGCTGGCAATAGGATCAGCTGGAGCTGCAGGAGCTGCCCCGGGAAGGGGCTCAGCACCCATCCTGCTCAAACCCCAATGAGCATCCTCTTGCTCCGACGGTGGGGAAAAGAGCACCAAAGCCAAAGGCATCTCTCGGAGGGGTTGTGCTCCCTTCTTTAACCTGCCTTGCTCACTCCAGCTCAGGTTAAGCATCATTGCAGTCAGTTATGAAGAGGACACATGCCCTCTGCAGTGCCACGGCCCCCAGTTACACAGGGTGATGACAAGCAGGGCCCTGCCTGGGAGTGAGGAACAGGGATGTGCTAGGCACAGGCAACATCCCAAAGCATGGAAGGCACCGTGCTGGGAGACCAGCACCTCTCTCACATGGAACTCGTAGAGCCTGTTTCCCACCATCACATTCTGCACTACCATTTCCCCCTACAACAAGGGGAAGATCACCCAACCCTCCCTGTCCATCCTTCCATATCCAGGTGAGCAGAGCATCCTCTGCTCCAGGCTCATCCTTGCTCACAGACAGCATGGCACGCACCTCATCCCTGTGCCAGGCTTTGGGAAGAGCTGCTCTCTGCTGCAGCCCTGTTCCTCCATGGTCTGAGCTTGTGTCGGGGTTACACACTACTCCCTAATGCAGTGAAAGCAGCAGATTAACTTCTCCAGACTCTCTCTCTCTCCAAGCTCACACCCTCAGCGCTCCATTCCCGAGTCACAGGGTCACTTTTCCACATGGATTAACCAGCTCAGGTCCTCCTGAAGCACACGCAGCACAACCCAAAGCCCCAGACACGACCTGAGTCCCCATCACCCTTTGAGAAAAGGCTGGGCTGCTATCTGCTCATCTGACCGCGCTTCTGTGATGCCTATTGAGAGCTGCTATCCGACACAGGCTAATGCACCATGTACACCTGTAACTCATTCAGGGAATAAGAAAAGGATGCTCTGCTCTATTGTGCAGCAGAGAAGTGGCCCATCTGCATAGAAGCCGCCTGCCTTTCTCCCCCAGCAAACAGAGTAAGGTAAAAGCATCCATCAGAATTCATAAGATGCACCCCTGGAGTAAAAGATTGATTTGATATTAACAGATTCGTGCAGAGACTATAAAGTGATCAAGGCAGAACACTGACACCTCGGAGGCATCGCAGCCCTGGAAACCCACTGGCAATGCAGGCTGGCATCGGTGCAAGCAGCACAGACCCCCCCCCCTCCCCTTCCCTCCCTTCCCACACAGCCGCACGCACCCAGAGACAACTTTGGGAGCGGCAGGCGGCACTAACTCACTGTCTGCCACCTAAACCCCTGTGTCAGCTCCTCGTCTGGCACCCGCAGCCCCACGCTGCAGCCCGTGCCCCAGCCCCACGCAGCACCAGCGCATCGCTCGCCCCAAAACCACTAACGCAGAGCATCCCCTCAACACAACGGGACACACACACGAAGTCTCCAGGAGGTCCCAGAACCCTCCAGGAGCCCCGCACCGCGCACAGCATCCCCCATGAGCCTTATCCAGACCCCCCTCCTCAGCCCCCCCAAGGCATCAATGCAGGTGCTCCTACCTGAGCGTGGCGCTCTCCCCTTGCCGCACTGTCACGTTGTCCATGGCTTTGGGGAAGGTGGCATCTCCGCTGCGCACGGGCACTCCTGCGGGCACAAGGAAGAGCAGCCTGAGACAGAGGACGACTAGGCACCTCCAGGGCAGGGCTAAGCACCCACCGACCCCCATCCTGGGCAGCAGGGACTTTTCCAACAGGCAAAAAACACACCCGACCAGGCCACCGGGAGCGAAAAGAGAAGGGGATGAAGGGGGGGAGAGAGGAGGGATGGGGTGCGTGTGTGTGGGGAAGGAGGGGAGCAAAACCACCGGGGCCGAGCGATGAGGAGCTCCACGGAGATCAGGAGAGCCCCCGGCAAGGCAGGATGCGAGCGCTGAGCCTGCCGAGCGGCATCCGGAGGGAGTCCCCAGTATCCTTGGGTGAGGGAGGAGGACGGGAGGGCCGGAGGGGAGGAGGAGGAAGAGGAGGAGAGAAGATGCAGTGCAAGAGATGAAGGTCACAGATGTGTGCCTGCTCCAGACGCTACTTTAAGATTCATTTGGGCACGCGCTGCGGAGATCTGGCATCAAAAGTTTATAACCCAAGGAGGAAACGTGGCTCTGGCACGAAAGGGAGGGCGGCCATAAACCCAGTCAAAAACAGGGGAGTTTGGCTGTTTGCCGGCTGCTGCTCTTTGAAATGATAACGGGAAAAGGAAAACAAAGCCCCTAAAACACCCGAAAGCTCCCCGAAATGCCGGTTCTGTCGCAAGATCGAAACTTCCCCGCGGAGCTGCCGGCGATGTTTCCCCCCCCAGGCCGGGGACGGGATGCTTCTCGGCTCCCAAAAGTGGGTCTCCAGAGACGTCCCCCCTTCAGCTGAGCAGCGAGGAGGAGGAGAAGGAGGAGGAAGGGTGTCGGGGCCGCGGCGGCAGCAGCAGCATCCCGGCCCGGTCGGGCGGCAGCATCCCCGGGCGCGCAGGCGGACTGCCCGCCGTTGTCATGGCAGCGGCTCCATCCCTGACCGGCGATCGGGCTCCCGCACACCCCGGTAACACCCGCACGAACACACACACACACACACACACACACACACACACACACACACACACACAGCGAGGCGGGCGGAGCGCGCTTCACCCGCCAGCCTTTAACCCCCGCCGCACCGAGCTCCCGCAGAGCAGCGGCACCGAGAGGCTCCCACCAGCCCAAGGGACTGCCCCCCCCTTTAACTGCTTCAAGCCCGGACGTCTCGCCCGGCTCAGCACCACGATGCTGGTCCCCTCGGCCACCCCAGCGCCCTTGCTGCACCTTTCCCTGCATCCCTAAAATCAATCAGGGTGGAAAAGATCTTTTAAGATCCAGTCCAACCATTCCCCAGCACTGCCAAGGCCACCACTAACCCATGGCACTGAGAGCCTCGAATAGCCTGTTCCAATGCCTGAGCACCCTCTGGGGAGGGAATTGTTCCTCAGCTCCATCTAAACTTCCTCTGGTGCAGCTTGAGGCCGTTTCCTCTTGTCCCATCCCTTGTTCCTTGAGGGCAGAGACCAGCCCCCTCTTGGCTTCATCCTCCTGCCAGGCAGCTGTAGAGAACCATAAGGTCCCTCCTGAGCTTTCTCTTCTCCTGACTAAACCCCCCAGGCCCCTCAGCCGTTGCTCATCACACTTCCATCCACTTGTTAATGCATGGTTGAATTCAGGGATGGCTCCCCTGTGGCTGGGAGCCTGTCTGCAGGCAGGGCAGTGAGAAACAAGGTCCTGCTGACACATATTTGCCCCACCAGCTCATTGTGGAAGGGAGCTCCAGAGGATCTCCCTACTCCATATCCCTGCTGTCCTCACTTCCTGACACAGACAGCCTTGCACTAGGATGGTTTTCCACCCCACCACTCCAAACAGGGTAGTGCTTGACATCAGAGTGCACCAACCCCTTCCCTGGTCCCCCTGCAGTCCTGTTATGCACAGGAGGTGGTCTTGGAGACATGCAGAAACCATCATTTACCTCCTCAAGCAGCAATTGAGGCCACCAAGACCTCAGTGACCATCCAGACACATCCATCTCTGTGCCTACGAAAGGAAACCAACCTCCCATTGCTACCTCCTTGCATTGTGCTGTACAGTTCCTCATCCCTAAGTCGAGACGGGCATGGTCCTCAACTGGATGCATTCCTACTCAATATAACATGCCCCTTTCAGGAGGAATATAACAACCAGTGAAAGAGTTTAAGCTATTTTGGGGCCCCAATCTTCTCCAGAGACCCAAATACAGCTTCTACAACCAATCAAGAGGTATTGGCAAGGGGTTTTCAGTGATTTCAAGCCAAATTATCAGCACTAAAGATCCTCTCTATATAGCAGTGGGATGCAGAGACCCTAAAGACACTGCTAGCCACAGGCTAGCACTGCAGAGATGTGTGCTGACTCCTGGCACCAGCTGATGGCTGCAGGCATGAGAGGGATGCTGACTGCAGCTTGGATAAATAGGACAGCCCAGGAGCCAAGGGAAGTGCAGGGAAAAGCACAGGGATGAGTTTTCCAGCTCTTCTGATAGAAAATTGCCTTAACCCTGAATACACAAGCCAGCTGCTACAATGCGAAGCATCCTTTTGGGGGGGAAGGATGGAGAGGAAGAACACCCCATCTCCTTCCCGATGGGCTCCCACCTTGGCACAGAGGAGCCATGGCTGCTGGCAGGGAAGGAGCAGCAAGGAGTGAGCACAAACCCATCACAGCTCCCCACAGTGAGACAGCCTGAGCCTCCTCCAGCAGCAGGGTGAGCTCCAAGGGGGAGGATGCTGCAGTGACCAGAAGCTGTGCTGGGTTCAATAGTGCTCACCCCTTGAGAGAGGAAGCTGTAGACATAGAGTGTGTGTAGCAGGAAGCCTGCCAGAGATGGTGTAATTTAGCAAAGGGGAGATTTAAAGGGGGAAAAGAGCCTGTCTGCCTCAAAAGAGCCTCTGAGGAGGCTGCAGAGATGCAGACACATGTAAAGGCAAGGTATAAACTGACAGACAGGGAGCTGAACTGGCATATATGGGGCATCCAAAAGGGAAAAGAGAGGGAAGGGAACGGTGTCCATATTTATGGAACAGAACCTGCCTAACTGGGTAGGACACAACAACCTGGCACCGCTATGCAGGTGGCATGCCTCAGTGAAGCCCCTTTGGGCACTCAACAGCGGGAGCAGGCAGTCAAAGAGCACCCTTTCCTGCCTCTGTCTTCTGGCTCACCCCATCACAGTTCTGGTTAAAGCTACCTTCTGAGGAAGCACACTGCCACCAAACAGAGGGAGCAAGCTGGGACATGGGGGAGGAAAGGGCAAAGGGAAAAAGAACTCAGAATCCAGGAGGGTACAAAACGTGGACGCAGCAGACATGAAAGCAGAGCCACTTCTGTGCCCAGACAGTTTGCAGACCAGAGGTTGCATGGGGTGGCTTTAGATCAGGTCCATGTCTAAAAATACCAGCTAGCTGAGAGGCTGGCACAGGCCCTGAGGGCATCAGGCATATGGCAGCGGCTGATCCTGCTCCTCAGAGTGACGTTAACAAGCCCTGACCTTCTCTCATCATCCCAGAGGCTCAGAAAGGAACTGAGATTGCAAGGACGAGTCCCTCCACCTCCCAGCCCATTGTCAATCTCCGCTTTTATTAGTGGTGCGGTTTGGTCTCCATCTCCCTCCGAGCTTTCTCCCTCATTGCTCTCATCAGGAGCTTGCAAATGCCAAGAGTCCAGGCTTGGAAGTAATTAGTGAGGGACCAGAGCCCATTGTGGGGCAGGTCAGTGGCAGCGCTGCTCCAGCACCATACTGGGACCAATGTACAGCAACACTGGGCTTTATTCTGCAGCCCCACCACTGCTCCACGTTTATTTTCCCCTTCTCCACGCATCTTAGGGCATGCTGGGATGCTCTCAGTCCATCTCCCTTAAGATGGATGCAGTGAGGGACGGAGACTGCAACAACACCAGGACCCCACACACTTGGGTAGCGTTAACTGCTCACCAGCACCCTCTGATACACTGCCTCTTCCTAAAGGATATTGATTCTCTCCTCTGGCAGGTTAAAGCCATTCCCCTTTTCCTGTCCCTACATCCCTTGTCCAAAGCCCCTCTCCAGCTTTCTTCCAACTCCTTTCAAACCAGAAACAGATGCTCACAGCTTAGGACCTTCCCACAAGCACCCTGCCTGGGGAGAGAAACACTACGAAGCACATCCACTTTTCGCACCAGGACAGCATCTTCTCCCGTGGTGAGAACAACCAACCACCACGTCCTTGTCAAAGTGCAAAGCGCAGTCCTCAGCAGGCAAAGACAACTAATTCTTAAGGAAAATAGAATGGAAAATGGTTTTCTTTGCCTTTTTTTTTTGTCCTTTTTTTCCCCTAAAATGAACTTTGAGCCACTCACAACTGAAGCAACCCATCGAAGCAAAAACCCAGCAGAGCTGGAGGGGAAAGCAGTCCTTGGAGGACCTGGCCTTGTTTAATCAAAGAGCTAATCCTTCACCCTCCAGCACTGGTGGAAGTTCCCAGATCTCCCTCTGGAAAGCCCAAAGAAGTTGTTTCAAAGCTCCTTCCCAGTCCCTGTCTGCAGAGAGCTGCTGGTGCTTCCCAAAAACCGGGGTCTTTCAAGGCATCCCTCTCCTGGGGCACGTGAAATCTCTATTCCTGAACATCCCGGCTACACTATCTGGCCAAGATACACATAACAACTCCATGGTGAATAGAGAGCGCTGTATCTTGTTGGTATCCTGCTACGTGCAGATGGCATCTGGGCTCGGGGCTATGAGATTTTTAACTAATATCTTTCTGCACTACTATCCCCTCCTCCCTTTTCTCCCACCTCCTCCTCCTTTCCACCTCCTCTTTCTCTCCATCTGTCCCCATCCCTTCTCTTCTCCACCTTTTCTCTTGCACACTTGCAGCTGCTAATTTTTCCCCAGCGTATTTGGCACTGCCTCCAGACACCTCTTCCCCCACAGCCCTGCTTCTTCCTTTCCCCAGTTGCTGCCAAACAGTCTCCATTTCTTTACCCTGTGCACGCACACCCCGGCACAGCAGGGAACCATAGAATCATGGAATGGTTTGTGTTGAAGAGACCTTAAAGCTCATCCAATTCCAACCCCTGCCACGGGCAGGGACACCTTCCACTGGAGCAGCTTGCTCCAAGCCCCTGTGTCCAAGCTGGCCTTGAACACTGCCAGGGATGGGGCAGCCACAGCTTCTCTGGGCACCCTGTGCCAGCGCCTCAGCACCCTCACAGGGAAGAGCTTCTGCCTTATCTCCAACCTGAACTTCCCCTGTTTCAGTTTGAACCCATCACCCCTTGTCCTATCACTACAGTCCCTGATGCAGAGTCCCTTTCCAGCATCCCTATAGCCCCCTTCAGACACTGGAAGCTGCTCTGAGGTCTCCACACAACTTCTCTACCCCAGGCTGAACAGCCACAAGCTCAGCATCCTCCAGTATGTTGGAACTGGGGTGCAGCAAAGCATCCCCCCATTCCTCAGATCAAAGCTTTGGGAATGCTATTCAGAGCTGCACTGACCGCTGCCCAGGCAATAGCACACACACAGCTCTCCCCCTCCATCCCCCTGCCTCTCTCCAGCAGGATTTATTTCTCCCACTTAATTTTCCCAGTTGTTTTATCTCGGTTTATCTTCACACTCAATCAGGCTCTCTGTACAAAGGGAACTTTTATTTTCTCTGCTGTTACATTTAATGCATTTTATCGCAGGAATTTAGCAAACAGAAAAACACACTGAGGTAATTGTGACCAAAAAAACACAGCTTATTCCTCAACCTGATCGTGGTCGTGAGCTCTCCTAGGCAGAAAATGCAAACTCAAGACCCATTCTCTTCCCTAACGCCCAACTGTGGGGCTGATTTAGCAATGAACACCCCTCCAACACCGTCCTCGCAACCTAAATGCATGGATAAAAGCTCCCATCTTCCATAAAATCCTTCTAGGATCGTGCAACCCCAGCTGAAGCAGAGGTGTATGCATCCCCAAGGCCAGGATGGACGGGGCTTGAAGAAACTTGGTTTAATGGAAGGTGTCCCTATCCATGGCAAGGGTTTGGA